GGAGGAGGAGGAGGAGGAGGAGGAGGAGGAGGAGGAGGAGGAGGACGCTGCGCCGCTGCCGCCCTGGCGGGAGCTTGCCCAGGCGCCCCGGGAGAAAGCAGCCTCGACAAAAAGAACCACAACGCCTTGCGGATCAACTTGGGCCCCGAGGACCGGGCACGACTCCGCTCCTGCGGCGGCGCCCACGCGGCTGGCTGGCAGCAGGCTGGCCATCGGCGGGCCCGGGCAGCGTTTGAGGGACGACGACTACCTGGACACGGCGCGGGCGCTGCTGGGCCAGGGCCTCGCGCTGCCCGACAGCCGGTGCCAGAACCGGCTGCGCACGGGCGCGCGCGCCCGGCAGCTTTGCGGCCAGGCCCTCTGCAGCAAGGCGCACCACGCCTTGCGCCGCGCCTGCGGGGGCGGCACGAAGGCACGCAGCTGGGACATCGAAGACGTCTGGGGGCGCATTCACGCAAAGCGCGGCTTCCAGACAGGGCGCCAGGTCCATGTCCCAGCCTGGGACCGCTGGCACTGGTCGCGCACGGCGCCCGGCTGCTCCGCGCGCGGCCGTGCCCACGCCCCGCCCGCAGTGCCTTGCCAAGCCTGCGGGTTTTGCGCTGCGGGCTCACCGCGATGAGGCGCTGCTCGACCTGCAGGCGCAGCGGGCGGGCCGCCCGCGGCTGCTAGCGGACGTCGCAGTGCGCTACAGAGTGCTGGGCGAAACCCGCGCCCTGGCCGCGGCGGCGGGCGCGGAAGGCGAGCCGCTACCCCGCTGGCCGCACCCCTTGGCACGTCCTGCCACTCGCGCTGGAAACAGCAGAGCGAAGCGCGGATGACAAAGCCAGGGAAGGACGGGCGAGGACGAATCAGAGGGGCATGAGGTATATGAGGAGGAAGATGACGAAGGCGACGACGAGGAGGAGAAGGAGGAGGAGGAAGGGGTGGAGGAGAAGGAGGAGGAAAAGGAATATGAGGAGGAGGAGGAGGAGAAGGAGAAGGAGGAGGAGGAGGAGCAGGAGTAGGAGGAGGAACTGCAGACGCTACGACCCCAGGGATCCAAAGTTGCCGAATTCGAATGATGAGCAGGGGGACAAGGACGATGAATAAGCAGATGTTGACGAGGAAGAGGATGATGAGGATGATGCTGAGGATGGCGATGGTGATGGCGATGCTGATGATTGCGATGATGAGGCTGATGAGGGTGATGATGCGGGTACGAAGGATGTTGATGGTGATGATGATGATGTTGCTGATGAGGATGATGCCGATTGATGACGAGGAGGAGGAGGACAAGGGACGATGAGGAGGAAGAGGAGCAGGAGGAGGAGGAGGAGAGAAACTGAAGAGCGAGGAGGATGAGGAGGCTGAGGAGGTTGAGGAGGAGGAGGAGGAGGAGGAGGAGGAGGAGGAGGAGGAGCAGGAGGAGGAGGAGGAGGAGGAGGTCGAAGAGTTCGAGTCGGAGGAAGAAGGTGAGGAGGGGCGTTGGAGAGCACGCCCCCTGAGGTAATGCTTCGACCTCGAGGGCGAGCCGAGGCCCGGCAGCCCGCCACCAGTTGTGCATGGGGCTTTGGCCAGGGGGGGCGAAAGAGCGAGGCGGGAGAGACGGCGCAGGACCGTTTTGAGTCGGCAGTAGCGGGGGGGGGGTAACGCAACTGCGGAGGCCAGAGTAGGCGCAATACAGTCGGACCGAGGTATTAGATCGAGGTCGACTCGCGGAGGGTACCCTGATGTTCGTCGTGTTTGTGGGATGTTTTTTTGTTGTTTGTCCATCTTCGGGGAGGGCACTTTCGAATATTCCTCATGGGCTGGCGGAGGGTCTCATGTTCTTGGCGGATTTTATTATGTTCTAGGTCCGGCTGTTATACTTGCAGTAGTTTGTCGCATGAATGCAGTCGTTTGCTGTCTGGACGCAACCGTTGCGCGTGGACTCGCTCGTGCATTTTTCCAACCGCTATAGTTTGCGCCCCTTGCAGTAGCTCGTTCCCCCCAGCAACAATTCGCGCAGTAGTTCGCGCGAGAGAACTATTTCATCTCCCACCGCCCCACCCATTGGCGTTGCCCCCGCCGCTCCAGTTACAAGACACAAACCTCCAACGCATCGACAACGTAGTTACTGCGGTTTTGTATTTCTCGGTTTTTGGGAGCCCTCGCCAGGCCCTGGGGCCGTCAAACAACAACTCGAGACGAAATGCCGGTCCTGGGGAAGGGGGTGGAAAAACGAGGACGAGGAGGGGGAAGAGGAGGTGGAGGAGGAGGAGTAGGAGGAGGAGGCGGAGGAGGAGGAGGGAGGGGATGGGAGCCCCTCCTTTCCTTACCTCAGAGGAGCAAGAGGTCACGATCATGATGCCTTCCAGGGTTTTCCAGATCCCCAGGATGACCGTTCCCTGATGTTCCACACGGGCCGCAGAAACGAGGGCCGCTAGATACTCTGGATCTCCTGGAACGTATCCGGAACCCATCGCACGATGACGCCACTATCATCCGATGACCTCCCTTCCCCCTTCTTCATCTTTCCCTATCCTCCGCTCCGGCCGCCCACCACGGCGTGTGGCGCGCTCGCCTGGCTGATGGTGACGAGCTGCCAGGGGACGTTGTCCCTCCTTCGCGGCCTTCGCGGTGTCCAGGCACCTCTCTGCCCCCGCCGTGCACCACTTGCAAAGCATACCCCCATTGCTTCCCAGTTGTGCGCTCCCTCTTCCTTCCTACCCCATCTCGGAGGGGGGCAGGTGGAGTCAACGGCGGCCCTCCCGCTTGGCGCAGACCTGCTCAAACTCCGTTTCCAGACCCCAGACCCCTCCCAGGCGGCCAGCCTGACCCGTTTTTCGACGCGGATGTCCCCAGGAGGAGGGGGAGGAGGAGGAGGAGGAGGAGGAGGAGGAGGAGGAGGAGGAGGAGGAGGAGGAGGAGGAGGAGGAGGAGGAGGAGGAGGAGGATGGAGGAGGGGAGGAGGAGGAGGAGGAGGAAGGAGGAGGAGGAGGAGGAGGAGGAGGAGGAGGAGGAGGAGGAGGAGGAGGAGGTGGGGGAGGAGGAGGAGGAAGAGGAGGAGGGAGGAGGAGGAGGAGGAGGGAGGAGAGGAGGAGGAGGAGGAGGAGGAGGAGGAGGAGGAGGAGGAGGAGGAGGAGGAGGAGGAGGATCGCATCGTGCCCCGCGATGCGCGAAGCGCGGTCCTCTTCGCGCCCTCGCGCCCCTGGCCGCGGCGACAAGGGGTCCCCGGGAGGCCCGAGGAGGACGAAGGACGCCAGGAGCGCCGCCGCCGCCTCGGCGGGCCCTCCTCGGGCCATCCTCCTCCCGCCTTGCCCCCGTGCGGCCACCGACGGCCAGCGACGGCGGCCAACGGCGAGGCAAACGAGCGGGGCAGCATCGAGGGCGACGGCGGCGGCGACCCCCCGAAGGCTCCACGCAGGGCCTGTACACGGCGGCCGCCCAGGGCACGAGGGCCGTGTGGCAGATGCTGCAGCAGTTCCCCCGGGGGAGCCTTTGGGGGGGCCTTGGAGAGGAGGAGGAGGATCGAGGAGGAGGAGGAGGAGGAGGAGGAGGAGGATCGAAAATGATTGTTTATGTGTTTTAAAGCTTGTGTCTGCGCAGGCTCTTCTTTTAACCATGCGGGGCGGGGCCCACGTGGGACCCAGATGCGCTCACGGACAGCGACAGCGGCAGCATCTTCATTTGTCCCGCGCATGTGTTCTAAGTTTCCAGCGTGCCAGGCTGAGACCGGGGGCCAGTTCGTGATGACCATGCCGGCCTACGCCAATTCGCGTGGACGGTCCACACATTGATGCTGACCGAGATGGACGGTGACCAAGATCGGCACGACGTTTTTGGATTCGGTCTTGGCCATGGTCCCCGTTTTTCCCCCCTCCGCTGAGGGACTTTCTGCCCCTCTTGGGGCGTCGCCCTTGAGTTTCTCAAACACCATGTTCAGCCTCTTGCAGTCCTCCGCCCTCGGGTGCTGTCCAGTGTCACAAAGTTGATGTTCACACACGCGTTTGCACTGAATAAGCTGGGTGATGCACGGGCGAGTAGCTACAGATACTATAATGCTGTGCAAGCAAACGTGTTTCACCCGCCCGCCCAGTCCCTATGTTCGTTTATGTATTACTGCCGATGCAGCTGGTGCAGCCACGGGCTGGGCTAGCTTCTCAGGGCCAGCGCGCGGCGGAGAGGCTCCTTGTCCGGCAAGGGGCTGGACTAGCTCGTCCAAGTCGTCGCACGTCGCACGGCGAAGTTTTGCACCAGCGCCAGGTATGCATGCAGATGCCTTCGGGTGGGAGGGAGGCTGGGGAAAGTAAAGGCAGCGGAGGTTGATTGCCCTTTATGAGACAGCGTGAAGGCGACGCTCCTCTTCCCCGCGCGCCCCGCGCGTCCGACGACGGCCAGTTTGTCGACCCTATGGCGGCAGTCAGCGCAGCGATCGAAGCCTCCCAAGAGTTCCTCGCGAAGCAGCTGGACGCCGAGCTGGCCGTGGTCAGGGCAGAGGTCATTGCCAACTTCGGAGAGCAGTTCAAAGGTCCTCTCGGCGCGGTGGTCCCCCAGCAGGGCGCGCAGAACGAGCAGTTCTGCGCGCGTGCACTCCCCGCAGGCCACCGCGCCAAGGCTGGAGGACAGCAACAGGAAGATCTGGGAACCGATGGCAGAGGTGCGACGTCAGTTCCACACGCAGGAGGCAAATATCCCGATCAAGGACTACGAGAATCGCGACGCGGACACCAGCATCATCGTGGGCACGGCGGCGGACAACTTCACGACCGACCATTTCAAAGCGAGCATCATGCGCTCGGCCCCTTCTCCTCCTCAGGCCTCGGGGTAGTTGAGCGGCTGCGCAAGGCGACGACCCGATCTGCCGCGTGCGTCGCGCAGAGAAGGATACCGCCCTTCTCTGTGGCCCTCTCACTGTAGCACTGGGCACGGGCGCGCTTCCTCTGCGCAGCGTGCGCCTCGTAGGTCTGCGCGTGGAAGGAACGCGCCCTGAAAGTGCGGGCGCCGCCCGCCTCCAGAGCGTCGCGCACGTCCGAGGTCGCCGCATACGCCGTCAGCAGGGGTCCTGGCGGGCCGAGTCTCTGCAGCCTTTCGGGCGCAGGATCTGCGCGCCGTCTGGGGGCGCCGAGATGGCGGGCGCAGGCGGCGGCGACCCGCTGCAGCAGCCCGGTGCGGGCCCGTGGCTCAAAGAGCGTGCTCGAGCGGAGGGCGGCGCTCCTCTTCCCCGCGCGCCCCGCGCCTCCGACGACGGCCAGCTTTTCGACCCCGTGGCGGCAGTCAGCGCAGCGATCGAAGCCTCCCAAGAGTTCCTCGCGAAGCAGCTGGACGCCGAGCTGGCCGTGGCCAGGGCAGAGGTCATTGCCAACTTCGGAGAGCAGTTCAAAGGTCCTCTCGGCGCGGTGGCCCCCCAGCAGGGCGCGCAGAACGAGCAGTTCTGCGCGCGTGCACTCCCCGCAGGCCACCGCGCCAAGGCTGGAGGACAGCAACGGGAAGATCTGGGAATAGATGGCAGAGGCGCGACGTCAGCTCCACGCGCAGGAGGCGCATATCCCGATCAAGGATTACGAGAACCTACTCGAGTGGGATCGCGACGCGGACACCAGCATCATCGCGGGCACTGCATTGGAAAAGTTCGCGACCGACCTGTTCAAAGCGAGCATCATGCGCTCGGCCCCTTCTCCTCCTCAGGCCTCGGGGTAGTTGAGCGGCTGCGCCAGGCTACGACCCGATCGGCCGCGCGCGTCGCGCAGAGGGGTGACCTGCCCTTCCCTGTGGCCCTCTCCCTGTAGCACTGGGCGCGGGCGCGCTTCCTCTGCGCGGCGCGCGCCTCGTAGGCCTGCGCGTGGAAGGAACGCGCCCTGAAAGTGCGGGCGCCGCCCACCTCCGGGGCGTCGCGCACGCCCGAGGTCGCCGCGTCCTCTACCAGCAGGACCGCCGGTGGGTCGAGTCTCTGCAGCCAGTTGGGCGCAGGATCTGCGCGCCCCCTGGGGGGGGGGGGGGGGGGGCAGTTGGCGGGCGCAGGCGGCTGGGGGGGGGGGGGGGGGGGAAGTTGTAGAGGGGGGGGGCCAGATCAGATAACGGGCAGATGGCGGGCGCAGGCGGCGGCGACTCGCTGCAGCAGCCCGACGCGGGCCCGCGGCTCAACGAGCGCGCTCGAGCGGTGGGCGGCGCCCCTCTCCCCCGCGCGCCCCGCGCCTCGGACGGCGGACAGCCGTTCGACCCCGTGGCGGCAGTCAGCGCAGCGATCGAAGCCTCCCGAGAGTTCCTCGCGAAGCAGCTGGACGCCGAGCTGGCCGTGGTCAGGGCAGAGGTCATTGCCAACTTCGGAGAGCAGCTCAACGGCCCCCATCGGCGCGGTGGCCCCCCAGCAGAGCGCGCAGAAAGAGCAGTTCCGCGGCGACGCGCACTCTCTGCAGGCCACCGCGCCGAGGCTGGAGGGCAGCAGCGATATCACCTGGGAACAGATGGCAGAGCTGCGACGTCAGCTCCACATGCAGGAGGCACAGATCCCGACCAAGGACTACGAGAACCTACTCGAGTGGAGTCGCGACGCGGACACCAGCATCATCGCGACCGACCAGTTCAAAGCGAGCATCATGCGCTCGGCCCCTTCTCCTCCTCAGGCTTTGGGGGATTTGGGCAGTTGCGCCAGGCTACGACCCGATCGGCCGCGTGCGTCGCGCAGAGGGGGACCTGCCCTTCCCCGTGGCCCTTTCCCCGTAGCACTGGGCGCGGGCGCGCGCCCTCTGCGCAGCGCGCGCCTCGTAGGTCTGCGCGTGGAAAGAGCGCGCCCTGAAAGTGCGGGCGCCGCCCACCTCCGGGGCGTCGCGCGCGCCCGAGGTCGCCGCGTCCTCCGCCGGCAGGACCCCTGGCGGGCCGAGTCTCTGCAGCCCGTTGGGCGCGGGATCTGCGCGCCCCCCGGGGGCGCCGAGGTGGCGGGCGCAGGCGGCGGTGACCCGCTGCAGCGGCCCAGCGCGGACCCGTGGCTCAACGAGCGTGCTGGAGCGGAAGGCGGCGCTCTCCCCGCGCGCCCCGCGTTTCCGACGACGGCCGGCCTTTCGACCCCATGGCGGCAGTCAGCGCAGCGGTCGAAGCCTCCCAAGAGTTCCTCGCGAAGCAGCTGGACGCCGAGCTGGCCGTGGTCAGGGCAGAAGTCATTGCCAACTCCGGAGAGCAGCTCAAAGGTCCCCTCGGCGCGGTGGCCCCCCAGCAGAGCGCGCAGAACAAGCAGTTCCGCGGCGACGCGCGCCCCCCGCAGGCCACCGCGCCAAGGCTGGAGGACAGCAAAAGGTCATTTGGAAACAGATGGCAGAGCTGCGACGTCAGCTCCACACGCAGGAGGCACATATCCCGATCAAGGACTGCGAGAACCTACTCGAGTGGGACCGCGACGCGGACGCCAGCACCATCGCGGGCACGGCGGCGGAAAACTTCACGACCGACCAGTTCAAAGCGAGAATCATGCGCTCGGCCGCTTCTCCTCCTCATGCCTCGGGGTAGTTCAGCGGCCGCGCCAGGCTACGGCCCGATCGGCCGCGTGCGTCGCGCAGAGGGGGGGCCGCCTTTCTCTGTGGCCCTCTCCCTGCAGCACTGGGCGCGGGCGCACTTCCTCTGCGCGGCGTGCGCCTCGTAGGTCTGCGCGAGGAAGGAGCGCGCCCTGAAAGCGCGGGCGCCGCCCTCCTCCGGGGCGGGGCGGCGCGCGCGTCCGAGGTCGCCGCGTCCCCCGCCAGCAGGTAGGCTGGGTCCTGGCGGGCTGAGTCTCTGCAGCCTCTAGGGCACAGGATCTGCGTGCACCCCTTCCCGAGGTAAGCGATCTTGTCCGCTTCGCATGCGTCAGCGCTGAGCTCCGACGCAGTCCCTGAGTTGGGATCCATCTTCTCTGCCTTGCCGCCCCCCTTGCCGGGCCTGGGGTGCCTCGAGCGCCTCCAGGAACAGCACTTGGGCAGACGCTTGGCAACTTTGCCAACGCATCTGCGCGCCCAAGCACAGCAGACCTGGCCGCCGGTGTGCGCACGGCCTGCGGGCGTGAGCTTGACCAGGTCAGACATGTTGATCTGGGTGCTGGCGTTGACCACGCACGACGAGCAGACGTGGACCATGTTCCTCTCGCCCTCCGGCAGGGTGCACGGGGTGGCCGCGCAGAGGTGCACCTCTCCGATGCCATCCTCATCCCTGGTCGCCTCAAGGTCGTCCTGAAGGTAACGGTGGGAGCTGCCCTCCACCTCTTTGAAGCTGTAGAAGTACCCGTGCCTGGTGAGGCGACTACCTTTGAGAGGCCTCTGCTCCACGCGCGCCACTGACCCGCCTGACTTCGCGATGAGGTCGTTGGGCAACATCTTCTCGGCGATGCCCCCTCTGGCGCGGACCTCGTTCTTCACGTGGGCCTCGTCCGCTGCCTCGACCTCTGAAGGACCATGCCAGGAGAAAGCTGAGGATGGTTTGCCCTCCAAGGAGACCTGGATGTCGCGCCCGTCTTGCTACCG